GAATGCTTTGTTGGCAAAAACGGGGCAAATATGAATTAGTGATAAGTGTGAATTGTCTAAGAACAAGTAATTATTGACGACCGGGCAATTTCAAAGTAATTAATTTGACAATCAATCAGGATTTGCAATAATTAACCATAACAAAGGAATAGGAAACAATATCTAGTTGAATTAGAACTTGCTGCTAGAGAACTGTAGAAAGATATTGTGGGAGGCTAGGTTGTAGTCCAGGTTCAACGAACATAAAAGTAAAAAAAAAATTAAGGGCAATGATGTATTGGATGGAGAATTTAAGGTAGCGTGAGTTTAAGTAAGATTATGACTGAGCCACATCAGTCTCACAGCGAACAAGAGAATCTTTATAGATAGTATTTCACCGTCATGCCACCACCACTGATAATAAGATATTTTTACATTTAAAAATTATAATCAATATCCTTAGTATCATTCTCCTATACCTCTTACTCTTTTTTTCAGCTTAGCATCTATAAGTAGAAAGTTACATCAACCTATTTGACAAGTTGACAAGAAGCATAATTTCAGTATTACAACGGACAATATAATTCGATATAAATTGATTCCTGAATGATAAATGGGAGGACCCTAATATGTTATCTTTTGTTGTTATGTTGTAAGTACTGGTAATAAGATGTTGCCACACTTGAAAGTTAACAATTAATGTCTGTAGTGTCCTTTTCCTAACTTTTTATTTTTTCAGCTAAAAACAAATGATAATAAAACAAATATAAATTTTACTTATAAAACAAAATTAAGGTTAGATAAATGACTCAAATTAGTTTTGGTAAAGTAATAATTTTGTGCTTTTAGGTAAGTTATTGTTTAAGTTTTTAGGAAAGGGTTATTTTATGGCTTATTAGGAGTTTATATATAAGTGTTTTGTGTACGGCTTTATGTGTGTTCAGAAAAAAAATGTGCTCAGAGAAAAGTGTAGAAAAAGAGTACCTCATTTTGAGAGAGAGAGAGAGAGAGAGAGAGATAGGCAATTGTGTAAGGAGTTTTGGGTAGAGAGAGAAAGTGAGAAAGTGTGTTGAGTGTGTAATTCTGAAACTGTTAGTGAATTTTTTTCTCTCCCTCTCTCGTGGATGTAGGAAAGTTTTCCGAACCACCTAAACACGTGTCTTATCTATTTTTCTGTTATTGTTGATTCAATTTATTTTTTTCGTTGCGTGAGTATAAGGGTGTGTTTTTCCTCAACACCGGTATCGGAGTTGTGGTGAGGATTAAAAGAAAAAAAAAAGGTCAAGATAATGTTCGAGATAAAGTTTGAGCTGATAGGGCAGTTTTGACGGAAATAGTACTTTCAGCATCTGACAGAGTACAGTGAATGATGAAAGCACTGCAAGAAAAAAAGTCAGAAAATATGAAAGATGAAAATTGGCAAGAATTGAAAACGAAAGTGATAAGCACTATTCGTCTAATTAGTTTGGCTCCTAAACTGAAATACAGTGTTATGAATGAGACATCTCCTTCCGAGTTACGAAAAAATAGAAAAAGTTTATATGTCAAAATCCCTAACAAATAGACTATGTTTAAAGAAGCAATTGTATGAGTTGAAGATGGATGAAGAAAGTGATGTTAGGGACCATATAAATAATTTTAATAAGTACATAACTTAATTATTAAGTGTAGAGGTCAAAATTGATGAGGAAGATAATGCGGTAATTCTGTTAACCTCCCTACCCAAATCATATGAGACTTTAGTGACTACACTCTTAGTTGGAACGATGATGTTGACTGTGGATGAGGTGTCGACTGCTCTGTTAGAGACTACATATATGAAGAAGCCAAGTAGTACGTCTCATACTAAACAAGTTTTAGTGGCTAAGTCAAATTCGAATAGGGGAAGGAATAAGTCACGAGGGATATGTTATGATAAGAGAGATGATCGTTTCCAATCCCGACCAAGGAAGGATATTGAGTGCTACTACTGTCATAAGAAGTGGCATATTAAGAGAAACTATGAAGAGCTGACAAAGCACCTTGAAGAAGAGAGAAAACAAGAAACTCAAGAGACTTTAGATTCTGCAAAGGTTATTAGTGATATGTATGATAATGAAGATGATGTGTATTCCGTTATTGCTGATGAAAATATTTCTGACTCTTGGATCTTAGATTCTGGATGCTCGTTTTATACGTGTCCATATAAAGAGTTGTTTGATTCTTATAAGTCCTGTAATGCTAGTACTCTGTTGATGGCTAATGATTCTAGTGCTAAAGCTCTTGGAATGGGTACTGTGAAGTTGAAGATGTTTGATGGAGTTGTTAGGACATTAACAAATGTTAGGCAAGTTCCTCAACTAAGGAGAATTTTGATTTCTTTGGGAGCTTTAGACACCATGGGTTATGAGTACTATGTGAATGGTGGTTTTATGCAAGTTAAGAGAGGTGATTTAGTAGCCATGAAGGGTGAAAAGGTGAAACTTTTATAAACTAATTGGGACTACAATTGTAGGTAAAGCTATGAAGGTGGAGCCAAGCCTCAAAAAATCTTCTTCTGTTGTAAAAGAAGTTGCAGGAGTAAAAGAATACAACAAGATGATAACAGTCAAAGATGATAAAGACAAGATGGTGAATACTTGTAGCAGTGAAGATACTTTGAAGAAGAAGAAGGCAGTTTCTCATGTCAAGTTTGATGAGAGCTTGAACTTGACACGTGTTTATTCTTGTTGAAGTAGCATCATCGTCATCCCATCCATGAGGGGTGCAATGAAGAGTATCGAGATTGAATACTCAAATGTGTGAGTTGAGAGAATTTGAGTCAAGGTAAAGATTGTTATGTAAGTGACTCAAATTAGTTTTGGTAAAGTAATAATTTTGTGTTTTTGAGTAAGTTATTGTTTTCTGTTTTTTGGTCAAGGGTTATTTTATGACTTATTAGGAATCTATAAATAAGTGCTTTGTGTAAGGTTTTAGTGTGTTCAGAGAAAAGTGCAGAGAAAGTGTGCCTCTTTTTGAGAGAGAGAGAGAGAGAGAGAGAGAGAGAGAGAGAGAAGTTAGGAGAGAGATAGGTAAGGGTGTAAAAGATTTTGAGTAGAGAGAAAGTGAGAAAGTGTGTTGAGTGTGTAATTCTAAAATTATTAGTGATTTTTTTTCTCTCTCTCCCGTGAATGTAGGAAATTTTTCTGAACTACCTAAATATGTGTCTTATCTATTTTTTTATTATTTTTATTTCAGTTTATTTTTTTACTGTGTGAATATAAGGGTGTGTTTTTTCTCAACAAGACTAGAGCCTTTTTGTGTAATATTTACATTGAATTCAATGGAGACGCTGGTGGGGATACAAGTTTTAAATATGAAGGATAATGTGAATGAGGGGATACAAGTTTTAAATATGAAGGATAATGTGAATGATTTATGTAACTGTATTTTGGAAATCAGTGCATCTGTGTGGCTGTACTGCTGAGTTAACAAAATATGATTAATTTCATTTTATTAAGGTATGTTATGGCCTACAATATTCCAAAAAATAACCAAACAAAAGATGAGAAATTAATATATATATATATATATAAACACATGATAAGGTGGGAGTTGCAACCAACTAATGTGTGATATGTGACTTTAGGAGAGAGAAGTGGTAGATTCTGGTTGGTCCATTCTATAACAACCAAAAAAAGGTCATATCCAATCCTAATTTGATTTGTGAGAAATTGACTTATTTATATTTCTATATTTTCCATGTGTTTGGCACGGATCTATTATTGTATTTTGGTTAGCTGAATTTGAGGAAAAAAAAATACTAAAGAAATTATAAATGATATAAATATGGACAGTTGCAATTTTTCTATTTCTTTGATTGGTATTTGATATATGACATGTGCCTTGGTATAATCACACAAGTTTCTTTACAATGAAATTTTCTACCGTAGAAAGAGGATAAGTTTGACATGTATTTCCTAAAAGTCAAAAATACACACGGGTATGTATAGTATATGTATATATGTACAAATATGGATTAATTTGATTATTTGGTTGGCTTTTCTACCTACCTATTGAGGACAAGAAACGAAGCATTTTACTTGAGAAAAATGACAAAACATTTTTTAATTGATTTGCAAATCATGAGCGGCACCAAATTTTGAAGCACGAGCAAGATGTCCTTTTTTGTGGGCGGAGTTCTACTTTAATCTGTTCTAGTACTGCCGCTGACAAACATTTGGCAATTCCCTCTGTTGAGCAACAGCACAAATTTGATGTCGTTTCTCTTCTAAAATACTTACAAAAACGGCTTGTCTTTTACATTTGATCGACAGTAAACTTTAAACAAAGGAGTACAAGTAGTTCTTACCGCAAATAACGGAAAACTTTTGGATGAGAAAAATGAAGTCTCCTTTTTTAAAAATCAGACGAGATTAAAATATAGATCTTATGGAAATTTAATAACAAACTACGTCTTTATATCTAAACGACATTAAAATTTATGTAATTTCCTGATCGTTAAGGCCGAGGACAGCAAATTTTAAACGACATGGCGTTGCACACTTGAACGACAGCAAAACTAAAGTGAAAACGATCTATCGCTTTATCAACTTAGACGGCATCAAAATATCAAACGGGTATTGCCTTCAATATATATATATATATATATATCAAACGGGTCTTTTGGGGAAAAAATCTTTTTTATTAAATAACGACAGCTTTAGGGAAGGGACAAAAAAAAGAAAAAGAAAAATAGACGGCAGCAAATAAAAAAAAAATGACATCGTAACTTAAACGACGGCAAACTTTACAAAAGGACAACATAATAGTTTTGTTGTACGAACGACGGATGGTGTGTCGTATTTCCCACATAAACGACAGTAAAATTAAACGACGTGTCTACAAGGAAGATGTTTCTAAACCTCTTTTCCGTTGCCCTTTTCTTCTGATGTAAAAATACACAATACGTACCGATCAGTACAGAAATTTCAATTCATAAAAAATAAAAAAATAAAAAAGCTTGATTGCAAAGTGGAGATGAGGGAATGGATATGGTGAAATTCGATAACATCAAGATAGCCGTTCGTTTGTCGTTTGAATCCTAGAAAGTCGAAATAAACCTATAGCCGAAGCAATGAGTTAAAACAAGTACTTGGAAATGATAAGATACAGAACAAACGACAAGAGCATCTACCGTCGTATGAGTTCAAGCCTATGGCAGAATTGCACCAATCTCCGAGCTCTCAAACAAGTCCACGCTTCCATGGTAGTCTCTGGTTTCAACTCTGACGTTTCCTTTCTCAGAGACTTCATTTTCGTCGCAGCGGTCGCCATTTCGTCCACAATAGACTATGCCCATCAAGTGTTTGCTTATATTACTGAACCAGACGTTTTTATGTGGAACTCCATTATCAGAGGCTCAGCTATGAGCGGGAGTCCTTTTAAAGCTATTTCGTTGTACAGCCAAATGGAAAAACGACATGCCATGGCCGATCGCTTCACTTTCCCGTTCCTGTTCAAGGCCTGCACTAAGCTTTCTTGGGTCAGGATGGGTTTGGGACTCCATGGAAAGGTTGTGAAGTTCGGGTTCGATTCGAATAAGTACATAAGGAATGCCCTTATCTTTTTTCACGCAAATTGCGGGGATTTGAGTGCTGCGAGCTCACTTTTCGACGAATCAGCGCGGGTGGATGTTGTGGCGTGGTCATCTTTGATGGCAGGGTATGCGAGACGAGGGAATCTGGATGTTGCCAGACGGATGTTTGATGAAATGCCTGAACGAGATTTGGTTTCTTGGAATGTGATGATAACGGGGTACGCGAAACAAGGAGACATGGTGAATGCGAGGCGGCTTTTTGATGAGGTTCCTAGAAGAGATGTGGTGTCTTGGAATGCAGTAATTGCGGGATATGTAAGTTGCCGGGAGTATTTGGTGGCGCTCGAGATGTTTGAGGAGATGAGAAGCGCGGGGGAACGCCCCGATGAAGTGACGATGCTCAGTCTCTTGTCTGCTTGTACGGAGTTGGGAGATTTATGTGCTGGCCAAATGATGTATAGCTCAATAATGCAGATGGGTTCGGGGTGTTTGAGTGTTCTACTAGCCAATGCGCTTGTTCACATGTATGCGAAGTGTGGGAGTATTGAACGGGCACTGGAAGTCTTCAGGGGAATGACGCACAAAGACATCACGACGTGGAATTCAGTGTTAACGGGTTTGGCTTTTCATGGCCATGCTGAGGAAGTGCTGGCTCTGTTTGAAGAGATGTTGAGGTTGAAAATCAGGCCCGATGAGATCACTTTCGTCGGGGTCTTGGTTGCTTGCAGCCATGCAGGGAGAGTTGAAAAGGGGCTGGGATATTTCAACCTCATGAGAACTAGGTACAAAATTAAGCCAAACATAAGGCATTATGGCTGCATGGTGGACATTCTAGGCCGTGCTGGGCTATTGAATGAAGCATTCGATTTCATGGAAACAATGGAGATTGAATCCAATGGCATTGTCTGGAGGACTCTGCTTGGAGCTTGTCGAATACATGGAAACGTTGAGCTCGCAAAGCGGGCGAGTGACGAGCTACTTAGAATGAGAACGAATGAGAGTGGAGACTATGTACTTCTATCTAACATTTATGCCTCACAAGGCGAGTGGAACGGGGCTGAGAAGGTAAGGGAGTCGATGGACAAAAGCGGGGTGATGAAAGAGGCTGGTTGTAGTCTAATTGAGGCTAATAACATTTCTGTCAAGCAATTTTTGTTTGATCCAAAATCAAAATCTAAGTTTAGTTGGAAAAATCATGGATCTTAAGCCACAAAACTGCCAGAAAATGCACTATTTGTCACTGTGAATATTGTTGAGTAAAAAACAAATTCATATACTTAGGAAGCAATTTATGGAACATTTCATCCATTTCACCATGGTTGATTTTGTATCAATATATGTGCTTTAGCAATGTTATTTGTTATTTTGGCCAGAGTGGTTATGCCAATTCTTGCTTTAACGTTTGGGATGAGTTTTCATCTTTGTTCGGTAAAATGAAAATGAGTAATTTTCTTCCAATCAATATCAAATCTGTCTGTTAAAAACAGTATTTTGTTGGGTCTAATTGTTATAAACTGAAGATATTTAGATGGATGTAATATTTATTATGCTATGGCAAAAGTTGATTACCTTTCTTGCGCTTTTTCTTCCTTGTATAATATATATATATATATATATATATATATTAATATTGGACCATCACTGCTGTTTTTTGCTCTTTCGATTTGGTAGTGTCTCTACTGCCTAAGATTTGTTATATGGTTGTGATTGCTTAAATTTCATATGGCTTTTTCAAGTGCTCTAATTACCTTCTTTTGTAAGAAAACTTTAGACTACTTACCGATTAATTATGTACTTAAAACAACAGCTAATCATTATACATTAGACACATGCTTTATCTTTAAAAAAATGTTATTTAATTGTTCCCATCTAGGTGCATTTTGTACGTTGATAGACTGCCTTTTGCACACACGACATAAATACATGGTTGGCGAGTAAAATGGAAGGGAATAGATTTACATTTCATAACAACAAATCACCAAAGATAAAATACATTACAAGGAGAGTCACACAACAAAGGAAAAAACTCATGTTCATCATCCACACTGCATGATCACAAACTCGCAAGCGTGAAAACCGATCTTCAGATGTATGTGCACTGATCACATGTATGCGTACAACATGATCGAGTACTGAAATCACAAGGGACTGATCAACGTCGAGAGAGGGCCAGCCCCGATACCAAGATTAGGAGTAAAAAGACACCGACTCCGACAAAAGATCCGATCAAAGAACCAGAGATGCGCTCGCAGAATGAGTTAAATTGTCGGCAGATGGCGAACCAGTTGGTATTAGTATTTCCATTGTGTGCTAAGTATACAATGGCTGCTGATGCTGAAGCTCCTGCCGTTAGAAGACCCAGCATTGCCTGCAATAATAAAATTTTAACTCATTATCACTCGTCATTTATATATTAGTGGAATATATTTTTTTAAGAAAAAAGTTTTTTTATTTTTTTTATTTTTGGACAATTCAAGAAAAAGTATTAGTCACCCCTAATGATGATCGCCGAATTAGATTCAATTAGTATTTATAGTTGTGTGTCTGCGGTGATCATGATGAATAACAATGCTCTTTTTATTTTTAGACAATTCAAGAAAAAGTATTAGTCACCCCTAATGATGATCGCCGAATTAGATTCAATTAGTATTTATAGTTGTGTGTCTGCGGTGATATGATGAATAACAATGCTCTTTTTATTTTTGGACAATTCAAGAAAAAGTATTAGTCACCTCTAATGATGATCGCCGAATTAGATTCAATTAGTATTTATAGTTGTGTGTCTGCGGTGATCATGATGATGAATAACAGTGCTCTAAAGCAAAAAACAAACACGTGAATGATTCTATTTAGCTATTAGAGCATTACACTATAAAATAATTACCTTGAGTACTTTGTACTAATGTGAACTGAAATATCGAGATAAGATAATATGTAATTTTATAAATGCTAGCCAACACAAAAACTGGTGTTAGTACAGTATATATAATCAAATATATTTATTTTCAGAGGAAACAGGTATATTATACTGAAATTTGCATGCTGCGTATATAAGAAATACTGCAATTCTATAATCAGAATTATATATACATGATGTACAGACATATAATCCCCATTGCTCTTTGACTGTACTACTTTTATATGAAGTTAGATGATGAATTGATCAGCCACAAGAGTAGTATGATATTATTACCGCGTCAAATATGATCAATAGTACTCTACTATTTTGTGCATTGCTCCTCACAATGTGGAAGAATGAAAGGACAAGAGATAGAACCAGATAGCCGCTCACAATCGCATTGGCCACCACAAAGAACCTAACAATATTTCAACAAATTAGAAGCTAAGCTCTTAGGTAAATTCATTATATCATATCCTATCTACATGTATATATATACACACACACACACACACACACACCCATATGTACATACAGACGAAGGGAGAAGCGGCATGCATCAAGGTAGACGACCGCCGCATCTGAAATTTTTTTTTTTTTTTTAATTTATTGGGAATTCTAAAATTCTATATTTTTCTTATTTTTACGTGCAATCGAATGAAATTTTTAGTGTACACCCCTTGCCTCATGACTTATTTTTCTTACTCTAACCGAACACACACATATATATATATATATATGTTATATACACACACCTAATGTATGCATATTAATAATTTAAACACAGAAAGACACAAGAAACTGAGGAATAATCTTGTGGATATATATATATATATATGTGAGAATTAGACAGGATTACATACGTAAATGTTGGAAGGTCATCGTACTCGGCCCTAAAGCGGGTGAACCTGGTAAAGAAAGGAAGTGTTTCGTTGGTTGTTCCCATGGCAACTGCACTTGCTAAAGTACCAACAATTGCAATAAGCCTCAGAACAAAATCCAATATGGACAGCCCTTTTTTCACCCCACTTCTTGGAGACGAACTTTTGGCCTTATCACCAAGCTCAACATCGCTAATTTGCTTCATTTTTCTATTTAGGTGTTAATTTGTTACAAAATAATAAAAGACCAAAAGAAGTCTGAAAAACTTTTGCATAAACTTTGCATGGTGTAGCGAACTTAAAGATGGTATTTATATGCAACTTCTTAATTCGATGTATAAACCAAAAAAAATATTATCCAATATTAATGACGTGGTGGGTACCAGAACCTAGCTAGCTACTATATATTTTGCATCATCATTGCCCAAAAGAAATTCAGAAAACTTTTTTATATTTTTGCTACAAGGATGGTGTAACATGACAGTGTTTATATTATTATCTAAAAGATTACCTGCTCATGATACTTGCTTTTGTCATCTGAATATTCGGAACCAACTTAGCAGGAAATTAAAGAAAGAATATTCCGAGTCAAATAGTGAGGTTAATTATCTATATAACCTTATCATTCCAACTCCACGAATTGTGAACCTAAAATGGAAAGTGGAAAAATGATTACAAAAAAGGAAAAGATACAACAATGATGTCGTGTTTGAAATTGTTTTTATTTTTGTTTTTTACGTTTTTTGAGAAAAAAAAATAAAAACGATACTAAAATGACATTTGGCACAATTAAAGACAAAAACCGAAATGAAAATGACTTTTTAGTTTAGTGTAAAATGAGAGAGAAATGAAAAACGACTTTTAGTCGTTTTTCATTTTTTATTTTCATTTTCTCCTCTCTCGAGCAGAGAGAGGGAGAGATTAATGAATTTTTTTATACTGAAAACAATCTCTTGATAAAACTACTAAACGCATTTTCAAAAATAATTTTTATATAAAATTAAAAATGTTTTCATTTTTATTTTCATATAAAAAAATAAAATTATTTTGAAACGAGTTCTAAACGCACTCTAATCTTCACATAGAGATCGAGAAAGAGCACTTGTAAGTTGTATCCCCTTATGCGTCTAGAATGGGGCAGTTGAACATCTAGTCTGGGGTGGGGTGGCACTAAAAGCTTGAAAATTGGCAGTTTGGGTTGGTATATAGTTGTCAAATGCTACAACACTATCCATAATATCTTAACCGATCCACTACTTGTAATTCCTTCTTTTTTCACCTGGTAAACGTATATTCAAAGAATCAAAACACACTCCAAACGACTAAAAAATTCTAATTGTACGTCATTAATACACACACACACATATAGATGCTAATAAAAGAGCCAGGTGGGTGAAGAAATTTGGGTTTTCTTTGTTCTTGAGGTGTTGTAATGACTAAAATGCAGGCCCGTTTGGCAAATGTATGTAAATCCAGGGAGAAAGAGGAAAATAGGCTAAGACTTGAGATGAATTAAAATTAATAGGCTAACAGTTTACATAAGTTAATAAATAGGCCAAATTACTGTTTTCGTCCATAACTTGTATGGTTATGAATCATAACTTGACAACTTATTCCCGGTTTTTGTCCATAACTTGTCTGGTTATGAACCATAACTTGACAAGTTTATCCATAACTTATCTGGTTATGAACCATAACTTGACAAATTATGGCCTATTAATTTCTATAACTAAAAGTTTGCCTATATACTTTCTTAAGCTTTTCATATTGGTCTATTTCTTACTATTTCCCTTAAATCCATGATTCTGATTCTGTTATAGTGTTTTCTTCTCCCAAAGAATTTGAATTAAAAAACCAATGGCTCTTTCACAAAATTCCTGCCAATAGATTAAAATTACTAACTTGAATCGTGAACTAAATGGGTATATTTAATCTTCTATATGAGTAAGTCCCATCTCAATTGAGATTGAATAGTACTCATTGGATTGTAATTCGTTATCCACATTCCACGGGTGAGGAAAAGTATGTGACAAAGAACTGGTGTTTTTTAAGTAATTGAGATAGTCGCACGTATTTGATTCTATTGTGAGTTTTAGTTTGTCGCCGAATCAATATGCATCTGAAGAATAAGAAAAGAAAAACCAATTACAGTTGATATTGAATACGTAGAAACAATAAATTTTCCAAAATGAGAAAAACTTTCAATTGTACTCGGGTATAAACATGCAATATAGTATAGCTCTTTTGAGAGACAACAATGGAGTCTTGTACCATATACTTTATTGAACACCTTTTCTCTTTGATTCTACTTCTAAATAAAACCATGAAACGAAATACAGATTAATGAATAAATGAATAAACGAACGAATGAACACCGTATGTCCGGTCTCGGTTATCCCTACTTGGTCTTGGAATCAGTTTTCCTAGAAAATCCGCTCTCAGAAAGAAGCCTTGACAGGAAACCTTGGCCGCTTTCATTATTGGACTTGTTGAAGGAAGTTCTTAATTTGTTTATGAGAGACCAATGAGTCTCAAAGTCCGGCTCATAACCGCTTCGTTGCATCATCTCCATGAGCCCCATCGCCTTCCTGGGATTGTTTTCGTGGTGATACCTGTCGATCACGGAGGAGAACATCTCCCTGGTTGGCATTTCGCCTAAGCAAAGCATGGAAATCAAAATCTTTTCTGCTTCCACAGTTTGCCCATCTCGGCAAAAGTGATGGACAAGCATGTCCCATGTGCCAATGCTTGGCCTAAGATTCCTGTCTAACATCTCGGTATGAAAATCCATTGCTTCATTCAGCCTATTGCTTGCACAGCAAGAAATAATTACGGAGTCATAACTGGTGGAACTTGGAAGACTACCTTTCTTCAACATTATGTTGAGAAGGTCAACTGCTTTGATCAGTCTGCCATATGAACAAAAACGTTTGATGAGATTATCATAGTTTATACTGTCAGGAATTAGATGTTTCTCCGCAAGTCTGTCCAGAAAATTCTCGGCTTCTTGAAGCTTACCACGAGAAAGAAGGCCCTCGACAATCATGCTTTGAATGGCAGAATCATGAACCCAGCCTCTTTGTTCCATCTCTCGACTCAACTCCAAGGCTTTCACAAGCTCGCTACTATTGCAGAGGGTTGTTATAGCCACCCTCAAGCTGCGGTTGCTTGGCCTAAGTTCCTTAGAGATCATAGTAGAAAGATAGTGCAAAGCACTAGATACGTCTTTACACCGAGAAAATCCGTACACGAGAAAATTGTAAGAGACTTCATCGAGTTCCACTTCCTCCTTTTGCAAGTCATGTACTATATCATTAACAAACAAAATGTTTCCAGTTGCAAAAAGATGGAAAACCAGAATGTTGTAAATGATGAGGTCGTGAGACTTGCTTTGTCCAAGCATACGCTCCTTCAGCCTCACTGCACGAAGGACCCTGCCCTCCATACACATTAAGTGCACCAAATTTCGGTAAGTCGGGATTGAAAGCTCAAAATTTTTTCTTATCATGGTACCAAGAAGCTCCCCAACTTTCCTCAAGCTGTTGACTTTGCAAAACCCTTGAACCAGAATATTACTGGTTTCGGCGTCTGGAAATATTCCCTTCAACAACATTTCCTTCTGAACTACAGTGGCCGCTTCTCTGACCTTCCCCGTAACACAAAATCCTTCTATTAATGCATTATTAACAGAAAGTGAAGAAAATGAATGGTCCCTTAAGCCAATCTCTTTTAAGGCAACAGCTTCCTCATGCCGATTAGCCCTACACAGCTGACGAATTAACAGAAGAGTAACATCCAAACATGGGGCCAAATTTATGGCCAGCAAATTGTTCAATAATCTCAGAGATGCGGAAAATTTTTTCTCCTTATTCATTCCTCTTATGACATGGTTATAAGCTATGTGATTGACGGCAAAACCCCGCTGATTGAGTTCTTCCAGCAAGATATGTGCAACTCTTGCAAAATTTGTAGAGCTGAGCTTTTCAAGGTACAGATTACATATATCTAATCTCAAGTGAGGATAAGACACCAACATCTTTTCAAGAAGCTCCAATGCTTCCTCTAGCATTTCTCTTTTGCAAAGGCATTCCAAAAGAGCTTTACAATCCTGCAAACCCGGTAACCATCTCGCTTCTCGGGCTATATCCCACCAATCATGAAGATCCCTCAAATTTCCCGTCTTACACAAACCTGTTATTATGGCAGTGTATGTCTTGTTATTGATTTTTATATGCCTTTCGAACATGCTGTCTAAGACTCTCTTCCCATTGTGTGTCCATCCTCTCTTGATGTACACTTGAACTAGTAAGTTTAGAGCTTCAAGGTCCAGCAAGCTAACCAAATTTGGCTTTTTCTCCAAAAGATTTGTAATTACCTTGGGAGAGTAAAGGGATTCGCAAAGCCCTTTAAGTAAAACAGAGAAGACGGGTAAGGATAACTCTTGTCCCCAGTGGACCATTTCATCTGCTAAAATCAGTGCACCTTTCAGGTTTCCATGATCACATTCTTTGATGACAAATGAGTTATAATCAGGCACCAAACTGTCTTCTAAAATTCCAGTGACTCTCTTCTCATACTCAGTGAAGTCTGCATCTAAATAAAGTCCATTGCCAAGACTATCAAAGAATTCTGTTCTCGAGAAGTGTACATCATTATCCCTCTTTAATCTCACGGCTAACGAATCGAAACCCAAAACCAAAAAGGCCTTGGACAGTTGATCCTCCCCTGAAACATTCTGCACTAGACCATAGTTTTCCATCTCACAAACTGTCCTCTTCACTTCATCAAATTGTCTAGCTTTACAATAGCCTGCTAAAAGGATTTTGAAAGTTGATAAATCGGGTCTTGTCCCCTTCTCCATCATTTCATCAAAAACGACTCGAGCATGCTTCCACAAACCTTTCAAAAACAACCCGGCAATGAGGGCGTTGTAAGAACATATATGCGGTTCTAACCCTCTTCTAAACATCTCTGCCAGATAAACAAAGGAGCTTCTCAGTTTCCTCTCGTGACAACTCCAACCGATTAAGATTCCAAAGGTGATCTCAGCTGGAACAAAGCCTATATTCTCCAACTCATGCATAAACAATTCTGCACTGTCAGCACTAAAACAGCTACACAAACAATGTATAATCCTATTCCCAGCAAGAATATCCGGTATAGTATTTATTTCAAGAAAGAAACTTAACACATCATCAAAGTCCCTCTTCTCACAATAGCCATAAACAATTTCATTAACGACAAAGTCACTAACCTTGAATCCAAATGCCATAACTTTCTTGACAAGATTTCTCGCCTCTTGAATCTTCCCATCTGCACAAAGAAGTCTTGTGACATTCTCCATAGTTGCCTTCACCATCTCACTAGATTCAACACCCATTTCAAACATATCCATAAAGACTCTAAATACCATTTGGGTTTTCTTCATTCTAACCAAATTATCAACAAGAAGTTGATAACAAGACGATGACGGGGCTAAACCCTGTCGCCTCGTTCGATCATACATCGAAACGGCCTTCTCTAATTCACCACTACAAACATACCCTTCAATCAAATTACTGAAAATTTCATGACAACCCAACCAAATTCCCTCCCTCTCCATAGCCAAAAGCAAGAATTCAACTTCTCTAAACAACCCCACATGGCAAAGAATCTTTGCCATGACTTCCCACGACTGAGGAAGATGCTTGAAACCCTTACTTTCTGCACTAACCCACTTGAACAAACCCCACAAAGCCCCAACCTTTCTAGCTCCAAACCCAACTTTTCCACACTCAAATTCAAAACCCAGTAATATTTCAAGCACATCTTCGGGTCTAAGCTTCAAATCCCGACGAAACCTACGGGTGTGCTGGGGAACTACGTTCGAAATTTCCAAAAGAAGGTCCTTTTTGGAAGAAACACTAATAACATGAGCAAAGTTGTTACCTTTGTGTTTGTCTAGAAAATGGGAACATCTAGAAATGACAGATTGGGCAATCCCAGAGAAGCAAAGTGATGGTGAATCCAAGTGTGATGAAGACTGTGGATGTGGGAGAGGCGTGGTGGTGGAGAAGGGAGTTCTGGTGAGAAGGATTGGGAAGAGAGAGGAGAGAGAAGCGACCTGTTTGTGGCGTTGGTGGTGAGGAGAGAGAGACGATGAGAGGATTCGGAGCATCCGATGAAGGAGAGTTTTGGTTTTTGGAAGAACGATATTTGGTGTCATCTACATCTGTGCGATGCGCTAGGAGTAGGTGTTCACCGGAATGTTTTTGCAGTGAACTAACGCCGGTAGTACAAAACCTCTTACCAATGTGATAGCTGGGCTGGTCTCAAGCTGGACGGGCCTCCGGTCCAAGAGCAACTGAAGGGGTGGGCTGAGTCTAAAGCCCATGGAGAGGAGACTCTAGCTAATACGACGTGGGATGGGGGTCGTTTGGGGAAAGACAGCAGCAAGGGTACTGAAGAGGCAACAAAGCCTCTGGGGGCTGAAGAGGGAACTTCACGCGAGGTTAGGATTCGCAAGGTGCCTGGCAAGTACAACGACTTCGTGATGGCGTGATTCCGTTGCGAGAAAAGCGGATCTCTACAATTGGCTTAGCAATTTTGCATTTCCATTTTTTGTTATTTTTCCAATTTGTTGTTTCGAGATTATTTCTCGTGGGGGAAGGGTCATATAAATAGTGGATAACTTGGCAATGAGAGGGGTACGTAAGAAGAAGAAATTTCTGTTTATTAAGAGTTTAGCACTAACTCGAAGAGTGCCTATTAATATAATTACCTCAATTGTATCACAATGTTTTTTCCTTCTTCTCAGCGAAAAGAAAATAATTAATAGGATTATTATCACCGGAATCCTAAAAAGTCATTCTCGATTTATTTTTTGAATTTTAAAAACTTATTTTATTTTTTAAAATTTTAAATTATTCTCATTTAATATATATTTTATTATTATTAATGTTAAATATATATATAATAAATAGAGTAGTGCAGTTACGTAATTATTTTGTTTAAATTTTTGTTAAAAATAAATATATAAAAATCACAAAGTCACACTTAAACTCTCACTTTTTCAGTCTGATTTTTAACATAAATTACAAAAGAATGAGTTAAGTAAAAAATATTCAAAGTTAATAGGATAAAATGATAGTTTTTAAAATTCATAAAATAAATTGAAAATGACCTCAAAATTCAGAGGCACCAATGATAATAATCTTAATTATTTATTCGAAGGGAGAATTTATAAGACAATTTTCTTTTCTTTCAGGGACATTTCTTTCTAGATAATTTTTTGGTGGCCTCTTTTACGGTCCATCCCAAAACTGTAATCCATCAGTGAAATAAGTCTTTTTATAATTAGATTAATTTTTTAATAGTAATATCTATATAAAAAATAATTATATGTGACGCGTTATAAATTTTTAATATAGACATGTACATATCTAACCGTTAAAAATTTAATTTAAAAATAAAAGACATTTGCTCCATCGGTGGGCCACAACTAAGGAATACATCATAAAATTTTCCTTTTTTTTATATGGGTAAAAAATTACTTTATTTTGAACACTCAAATTCTACTTAATTATTTGTTCAATAAATATTCAAATCAGATTTTGGAACAATCTTGACTGCCTCTATCATGTTGTTGGTAGCAAAAATAATATTCTTTTTAGCAAAATTAAAAGAATTTTTTAGTTACGGATTGTAATATTCAATGTTTTTTTAAAAAATTGGTTCTATTTACACACTTTTTTTTTATTCTCTACACCCACTTTTTAGACACACACTCTACATGATTAAATTTACTTTTTATACACCTTAATCATTCTAAAATTACCCTTATCTATTTTATTAAGATTATTAATTATTGACCACTTCAATTTTTTTCAAACCCATCATTTTATTTTAATTCATTACTTTAGTATTGTCATTTTGCTATTTTTTTACCAAAATTTGAGGCATGGAGCATTTTCTCGTACATAAAAAAAAAAATTCTATTATATTTTTTTAGAAAGTTAAAGGACATTTACCGTAGAAATTTTTTTATAATTATTGTTGTTATTTAGGAATCTAATAGTAAACTTTCTGTAGCAATTGCCCTTTATTTTTCTAATAAAATGTAATAGTAAATTTCTTTTATGTATGAAAAACGTTTCATGTCTAAAGTTTCAACCATAAAAAAATACGAAAATCAGAAAAAAAAATAGAGAGATAGAGAAATTATAATATTAAAGTAAGGAATTAAAATGAAATAATACAAAGGTGGAAAATAATATTGTTCTAAAGAATTAATAATCTTATGAAAAAAATTAAAGGTAATATTGGAATAAAAGAGGTGTGTAAAAAGTACATTCAATTATTTTAAAATTATGTAGAGAGTGTTTTTAAGGTGTGGAGAGTAAAAAAATGTGTGTAAATAAAACCGTATTTTAGAATTATAATAACACTCCTTTATTCATATTTAATTCCAATAGCATGCTTTTACTTTTTCTTCGCTAATCCAATAACATCCTTTTAATTATTATAATGTTTTCATAACCAGGAATGTATTTCACATACCCTCGAATTTCCTGAAAGTTAATTGATATTTTTTCATATTATACAGATATATAAATGTAAATATCTATATTAAGTTAAATTTCAATATAACTATATTTTAATAACTTTTTACTTAATTTTTAAGTTTATATTTTCTTTACCATGCATATTTACAATATAGTTAGTATTTTGATTGATAACTTCATCTAATTTATACATTGTTAGTTTTTTAAAAGCTTTTAAAAGTATAATGTAAACATTAAGGGTGCGATTGGTAGATGGATTCAGAATCATAATTCTGGATCCTGGTTTAGAATAAGTGTTTGTTTACAGTTATTCTGAATCATGATTCAGAATCAGTGTTTGGTTTGGATGATTCTGAATCATGATTCAGAATCTGATGTGATGTTTTAAACTAGCTCAAATCATGATTCTAAAATTACCCCCCTCTTGATTTAAGGTGAAAAAAATCCCCCCCCCCCCCCCCCCGCTCTTGATTCAAGGTGATTCAAACCTGTAATTCTAAATTATGAGTTCAGAATCATGATTTGAACTCAAAATCATAAATCATGGTTCTGGTTCCAAAATCATGATTAGAATAAACTTGGTTTGAATTCTCATACCAAACGAACCGTGTGTTGAAAACAAATTTTGGTATTTCATATCAATTTTCACTTATATTAATATTTTTATGATATTTATAATAAATATAAGTACCGATAGTTTAAAAAAAATTGATATTTTCATCCTTATTTATTAGAGTTATTTTTTTTAGGATCTTTTTTGGCACTTCTAGAAATTTATACAGTCAAAGGGAGTGTGATTGTAATCAAATTCAATTAAAGTAGTATCAATATAGTATTGATAAAATATGAAAATTGTAGTTTAACTTTTCTGTTTATTATGATAGCAACCACGATCGCTCTCATTTTTTAAGGTGTTTCTATAATTCTAGAGAAATGAGTATTAATGTTAGATCCAATTCAAATTATCTATGAAACAAATAATGAACAATTGCACGAGGATGAAATAAAAATATACAAAAATAAGTGTATATATATTTCTTCATAAAAAAAGAAACTTTCCTTTTCTTTATTTCTTTTTTTGCTTGAAATTGAAAAGTAAAAATACATCAAAGGAAACAGTTAGTAGCTCATTTTTCTTTTTTCTTTCTACTTTCTTTAGTGAGTTTGGCAATCCGTTGCATCTTGCTTGGAGTCAGTTTTTCCTTTTTTTTTTTTTTTTTTTTTTTTTTAAAAAATATCCATTTAATATTTTGCCTTTTCTTGTAATTACCCTCTTTTTTCAATGGTCACCGTAAAAAAAAAAACAAACAATAAAAAGATAGTGTACCACACAATTTAAAAGAATCACTCAAAAAATAAATAAAGAAATAAAAGAAACCTTCAAATTCCCACATATCATGCGATATTGAGATGCATGGACTAGAATGAGAATAAACTAAAAAATATAAGGGATCAATCATTAATCCAGTTAAAAATATGAAACATCCATACGCGATTTAAAAAAAAAAAAAAAAAAAGATCCCAAAATCAATTTTTTATACATTTTAGATGAAGCCACTATCCAGCTGCTGAGTTGACTTTAAACAAAACTTGCAACTTGTTTGAGAATTGGAGAATTGTAAGAGTTTTGACCCTTCAATTGCCTTAAACTTGGCCTGAAAGGACATCACATCACTCTCCAATTACCAGAATCAAAAACTCTTTCTGCTGTCTTTTCATCACAAAATTTAGTTGAAAAGCCCCTTATTTCCATTAATTGATCTCCTTTCAGGTAAACCAAAACCAAAAAGAAAGAGCAAAAAGCCAAATAATGAATCAAAACTCAAGTGCTTTTGTGATTGGATTGGTGGGAGCAGCAATAACCTTGTCTGCCTATTCACAGACGTTCTTCTCTCCATCTCAGTGCATTACAATTGGCCTCCTTGTTCTCATGTTTGGCTTGTTTATCAGGGAAGGTTTCATTTCCCTTTAGCACTTTCATTCTTTTTTCTTTTTTATAAAAAAAAAAAGCATTTTTATGTTTTTAATAACTTCCCATGTATAAGTGTCAACTATTTCAAACAAATTGTCAGCTCTGGGTTTCTCAACATTTTCTCAGGTTTTCTCAGGGTTTTCTCAAGATTTTCTCGAGGTTTTCTCGGGGTTTTTCTTGAAAGATAATGTGTGGTTTGGTTTAGCTATATAGTGTGAATTATTGTTATTATTATTATTATTGTTATTATTATTGTTATTGTTATTATTTCAGTTCTTTCAAGGCTATTTGTGTTCTTGAATGGAAGATTACCTAATCAAATCATCATAAGCCGATCTAGATATGATTGGTGAACTTTATTTGGAAGGTTATCATTAATTATACCCCAATTTTCAAATTTAGCTTATCAATCAAATCTGTTAATTTGGTGCCAATCATCCAAGAAAGAAAGGAAAAAAAAAAATGAAGTAAGAGATGCCCATGTGATAACAAATACAAAGTACTAACAAAATCCTCGAGAAAAAATCCTTGTTTGATGTACTTTTTTTTTTCTTTTGCTCGAGAGCTTTGTTAGTTTGTTTGATATACTTGTTTCACTGTTCCGATCATTGAAATCTTGTAAGATATCTTCATATGTAGCATCAATTTTTGTAGGAAGAGTATCTAAAATAAATAAATAAATAAAATAAAATTGTAGGAAGCGAATGCAAATCCCACATTTACTTTTACTATATATATATATATCTAATGACGCTTTGATGAGGAAAGTGTGACCTTGTCACCAAGGAAAATGCGGACTGTCATTGCTCTACATGGTATCCCAGCAATTTTCCACAGGAAGTTTTCCACCTGCAAAACCTGCATTAAACGATTAGATAATAGAACTTTATGATCTCAAATATAATGAAAGAAACACACTATACTGTGTCCAATGTAATTTAATTACACACTTGATCCTTATATATATATATATATATATATGTATGTATATATATATAAGGCTTAACCTCACCCATCATCAACATAGCATGCGCATTACTAAGTGTATGGAACTAAGTCATTGCCGGCTGCCGCTGCCGCCCAGTCTTGCGAACATCATCGGAAATCTAGCATGAGAAAACCAGGCCGTCACGTAGCCAGAGACGACTTGCCGATCGATTTGACTCTGGTCCCACAGTCAGTCCTCATGTACTTAAAAAGATGACCATGTTACATAATAATGTACTAGGAAAAAATGGGACCGGCAAGTCATCCTTGGCTGCACTACGAGCCTCATTCGCACATGCAAGACTTAAGATGAAAAAAATAAGAAAGACAAATCCATGACAATCATGATATTAGGTAATGACACAAAAGGAAAGGAAATCATATTTGTTTTCCCAACAAAGAGGTAGATTCTACTACTTTTCTTAGCGTCTTTCTTGACCAATCAAATAGAAATGCATGAGGACAGGAATTTTCCCAAAGGAGAAAGACAAGATTCCCAAGTGAGAATTTTGTAAAAGAAAAGCGAGCATTGGCCCAAATAGAGAGTTTTTGTGAAGAAGAAAAGGAAGCCAATTGGCCATGAAAGAATGAGCTGAACATTATAGCCAAAGACAGAGAAGTTACTGTTGTGTTACTTTGGTCTAAAAATCAGTATCTGTAAACTATTAATGATGATAGCTTTTGCACAGAAAGGGAAGCTAGAACTGCTTGAATTGTGTCGGGAAAAATAATAATAATAATAACGTTTGTTTTTTAGGGTTCCATATAAAATTGGATGTGACTTTGCATTGTAGCAGAAACCAAGACACGACAAAGCCTAGCGATCTATCACCATCACCTAAGTTCTGACTAGATTCTGAAATCACTAGATTCTGAAATCACTTACAATAAAAGTCATTCAATTCACGCCCATCTTCTGACTTTTGTTGCATAAATATATTGAATGAAGTTCTTCTGAGAACTTGTACTATTTGGCTGAAGAGGTTGGTGGAGTAGTTGAACAAAATTTACTCCATGTTGGCGATGAAGAGAGGGAAAAATATGCTTTGGTTCTTTTGAAGTTCAAAGATTTCCTCACCATTTTTCACTCCTCAATAAACACAACTTTTTCTGTATCAAACTACATTTTTCTTCAAAAGGTTCCTCACATTCTACAAAACTAACATGCTTTTCCATGTGGGACTAAGATGAAAAGAAAAATATAAAGCATACCACTCTGCCTTTCTTCTTCTCTTCGGGGACATCTACATGTATGAACCTATAGGCCAATGTATTGCTTCTTGTATAAGAAAAGGTAAAAGAAAAAAAAATGAAAACAAGAAGATTGTCTGTTTTTGTTGAATTCCAAAGCCAAAGATAAAGGTCATATAATTGGTGATGAGTTATATTATGCTAATCCAACCGCCGAGAGCATAAGTTAAAGTAATAGTTGTAAGACACTTCGCATATTTGCCGCTTCAACGGGTGGCAAAACTTTTGGAGAAATCACCAGCTGTACAAATCTAAACAAATTTGGGACCAGTCTTCATCACAGTTATGTCAAATCTACAATAATGCCATCCAATGTGTTATTTTTATTTTAATATATATATATAAATAAATAAAATACACAGATACATTGGATTGTGGTCAATGAAGAGGGTCTTAAAAGCTATTTAACCTGTTAGTCCTTAAAAAACTCGCCAACAATAAAATTTTCATAATCAGGGGGAAAAAAACTGTTGGAACAATTTATTGGTGTGCAGCGTTAGGATCAAGTTAGGTAAGTCAAAAATTGGGGTTCTCTTTTTTCACCTCAAAGTTCTGTATACCACACTGTAATGTAATGTAAGGAGGAGAGCCTATGAAAGGAGGTCTTGTAGAAAGGGAATCTAATGTAATGAGAACAATAACTGTTTTAAAAAAAAATTTAAGAACAAAAATGAGTATTAATTTTTCTTTCAATTTCCTTTTCCTTAGTGCTTATTAAAATTAACAGTGAGAGTTTTATGAATTTTATTTACTAAAATGTTGTTGTGTTCAATTGAATAATCATTGGCTTGATAAAAGGTAAAAGAGTACTTAAGTAAATTCTACGTTTGTTTTAATGAATTGAGTATAATATTAAGGGGAAATATTAGAATTTGTATACTCTCAAGTCTCAACCCATTTTAATGTGGGTCACATAAAATTACTATTCTTAATTTTGTAGGTAACCACATGAAAAAAAAAAAACCTCATCCTTTTAAAGGCTAAAAGTTGATTCTGAGAAAGGGGGAAAAATAAGAATGAGAAAATGATACATAGATGGACTTATGAGAGAATACAATACAAGACCTCGTTCATTTTATTGACTCAAATTTTTAATTTTAAGTTTCTACAGTTAAAAGTTCTCAGAAAATGTTAAATCTAACTTTTCTACTACAGTTAAAAGCTCTAAAGAAATGTCACATCCCAACTCGAATTGAAAATTTAAATCCACGAAGTAAACGAAACCTACGAGTAAATCTATTTGTAATAAGATCAACAATTGAATCTACGTAGACCAAGTCTTTTTAACCATTGAATATGCGTATTTTTAAACTTTTACCTGATTTTATACAGATACAACGGATAAAAAACTTAACCTACTAGTACGTTGGCATACCGGTTCCTTTTTCATATTATAAATATATACTAAAACTAACCCAAGGCTCTACGTTTTGATTAGGAGATGAAGGCTTAGTTTGGTAGTGCTGTAAATTTTAGAAAAATTACTTTTAATTGTGCTGAAAGAAGCAGCTATTACAAAAAATAGTTGAGTATTTATTAAACTATAATTATAGTAGCTGTGCTGGTTCCAAAATCAGTGTAATAACATTTGATAAATTATGAAGTTAAATTGTTATGTATAATTAAAAATTACGATTATATTATATTATACTATAATATAATATATATATATATATAATTACAATATAATGTATATTTATTATTATATTTATATAATACAATAAAATTATTATTAAATAACATATTATATAACTATGATATAGAATATAATAATATTATTAAAATGGTTAATATAATTACAATATTATAAAACATATTATAATAATACATGAGAAATATTAATATTTCAGTTATAATATAATTAAAAATTCAATCATATTATATTATAATATATTATATTATATAATCATTATTATATTATATTATATTATATTATACAAATATATTATAATTAATATATTATATAACCATAACGTGTGTAATACACTATAATATATAATAATATTAGAATTATAATATTAGATTAATATTTAATTATATTAATTATTATAATATTATTAATATAATAAATATAATTATTTAATATTATTAATATAATAAATATAATTA